TCAAACCTTCATAGAAAACAGAAGCAAGTTACTGAAGTAACCTAACTGGATTGCTCACCCATGGTGAATCCTCCTCTCCACTATCCCTATTTTTTTGTGGAGAGTAGTGGTCAGAGATACCTTGCCAACTTGGATGCATCCGAAGAAGTGAGGTTTTTACTCACGAAAGCTTATGCCCAAATAAATCTGTTAGTCTTTAAGGTGCCACCAGACTCCTTGTTGTTTTTGTAGATACAGACTAACACGGCTAACCCCTGATACTTGCCAACTTGGCTCCTGTAACAACTGGGCTGTCAAGGGGGCGGATAGTGGAAATGCAGAAAGAAGGGGAGATAGTGGAAATGCAGAAAGAAATCTGTAGGTTTAATGAGTTGATCATCCATCTTCTAACATGGGATGGGAGGGGAGAAACCCTTACACACAATGGAGGAAGGAAGAGGAATAATCATACACTGAAATTTGAAGCGTTTCCACGGTCTTCAAAGAAATAACCCACAGAGAAAAATGAAGCCATTTCTGAGGTCCTTCAGGAATTCATCAGGATGCTTCACTCATGAGTTTTGATGAGACATAATCTATTGTCAGCAAATGTTGCCACTCTAGTACTCTCACTCCTTCTCCATATTGTTTCTAAATACACTGAACAGCAGCTGTACTATTAACTTCTCTATACGCTGAGATTGGCCATGTCATCCTATTCTTAGGGCTCGTCTTCACGTACCACTGTAATGCTGAACATGAAGGTGACGGGAGAGCTTCTCCCATCGGTGTAATTAATCCACCTGCCCAAGAGGTGATAGCTATATTGAGGGGAGAAGGTCTCCTGTCAACATAGAACCGTTTACACAGGGGCAGGGGGTTAGATCACTATAACTACATCGCTCAGGGGTGTGCATTTTTCACATTTCTGCGTGATGTAGTTATACTGATTGAGGTATGTTGTGTAGACCTGGCCTGAGTTCCTAACTTTTAACCATTTTTTCATTCTTCTGCTTGAGCCCTGGGTCATACAAAGACCCCTGTGCTTAACTTTAAACTGGTAAATACTCCCATTGATTTGAAAGGGATTACTCACATGCATAAAGTTATGCATGACGTGTGTAAATCTCTGTAGATCAGGGAATTTGTGAGGTTTCATGGATGTAACTGAGGGGAAAATTTGGCCATATATACTTGAGCAGGATACATATTTTTTTAAAATGAATATTCACTCAGATTTGTAAGTAATTTAGCATCAGCCATGTTCATGTCCCTTTTGTGTTTACTTTGTATGGAATTTTCCACACAATGGAATTTTATGGGCACAAAAGTACATAGAAAACCTGCTTCAAAGTTGTTTGCAAATACTTGTGGGAACTGAGTTTTGTATTTACATGCATAAGTATTTGAAGCTGAAGTGAGTGTGTATTTGTACAGCCAGGATACAGAAACAATACTGTGTGAAATATCTGATGAACTACAACTAGCTAACACATCTTGGATATTGAATTCAGACATGCAACTGGTCATAATGAAGCAATATAGTTAAAAATGCATCGAAAATTTGTTACATAATTTCAGTGAATAAACCTGAGGAAATCACAATCTCCTTGCTGTTGTTGTGGGAGCAGGAAAAGAAGTTACACTTTCTTAGTAAATTATTAGTTGTGAATTATTGGCTCAGCACTACTAAATATATGGGCCTGATTTAACAATGCATTACTCCAGTTGTATACAGGTGTAACTCATTTGGTACTGTAGTTAAGCAGTGGTAAATCCAGCCCATTATATCCACTGGTTCTCCTGTATTCACTCCTTTGCCAGCTCAACAAATTCAAAAAGATACAAAAAAAGCAGTTTTACTTTTACAAAACTTAACACTGGTTTGCCCTTAGTATACTTTGCTCTTTAAGATGCATTATAGCTCTAAAATGATTTCCTTAATTACTTTTCTGGTACCAAGGTGGTCCTGGGGAATGAAGTGAAGTTGTACTTCAGTCGTCTGGAAAAGCAGCTTTATAATGATATTACACTTTATTTTTAAGTAACTCAACTATTTCAATCTTTTGAACCTTCACAGCTCTTCAGTACCACCATCTGGTCCTTGAGATTTATTATTATTTATTTTCCAAAGTTATTCCATATATCATTGTCCTTTTTACAACTTGCTTTTCTAGGGTACCCACTGTCTCAATAGTGAGTATTTGATTTCTGATTCACTGAAATAATTTCTTATTTTCTATACTGTGACGGGGTTTATGGACCGCACACTGGACCAGTGGGGTTGACCAATCACTGTGGGCTCAGGAGACCATGCCCCCTCTCTCCTGTTATGTGTGCTTTAGGTGGAAGGGACAGATAAAAGGAGAAAACTCAGCTCAGTAGGGACTGGCTGAGGAGGAGGGAGGACATGTGCTGCAGGCTCATGCAGATGCACCATCGACTCTCCAGACTACTGAGGCCATGGACCTGGACAACGCTGTGGAGGAACAGCCAACTGAGGAAACTGATGGGAATGCCAAGACACTGCCAGCCGAGGAGATGCCCAAGATGGGCTTTATGGTAGGAAGAAGCGATGTGTTGGGGGTGCATGCAGGGTCAAGTGCCCCCCACCCAGCAGTATTCCCAGGTGGGGAGTGGAAGGGGCAAGGCCAGAACCTCTTCCAGCCACGTTGGGATGCTGCCCGGTACAGCACAGCAGCTACCTGGGAGAGCACCTGGCTGCAGCAGCAGTGGACTAACCCCCGTCCTGGGCTTGGCTTCTGGGGACAGCAGTCTAACGAGCTGGAGCCTCCTCCCCGCTGTATGCTCGGCCCCTGTCCCTGGAAGCTGAGCCTGGGCAGGGAGTGGGCTGCCACTGCCGTCCCTCCCAAGCCAGGCTCTCTCCCAGGAAGCTGGATACGCTGCAAAGAGCAGCAACTGGGAGCGGCTCCATCCCACTCCCCACCTGGGCCTGGTTTCCAGAGAGAGCAGCTGAACATGGGGGGGCAGGGGGAGCCAGTGCAGTGGGAGGATAGAGCCCCTCTCCCCCATGCAGGTAATGTGGGTTGGGGAAGGGGCAGGGAGAACAAGGGGGGAGGAGACACAAGGGGAGGCACCAGTTGTCTAATAGGGAACATGTTATGAGCTGATGCCTCTATCCTTAATAGGAAGTTTACCGGCTTCATGGGGCCCTGGGTCAGAACCCGGTGGAGTAGGGTGGGTCCGGGTTCCCCTCCCACTGCCCTGTACTTGCCACTAGATGTGACTACCAGGGACTCTTGATATACACGGTCTATTTGCTCTGCCCCGCCCAGAGGATTAGGGCTCCCAAATTGCTATTGATTTTCCCAGCCAGAAGGCCCAGGGACCATAGACTGACTGTTTTCTCTGCCCTACCCATGGGTCCTGAGTTCCTGATTGTGATAGCTTGACTGAGCAGGGATTCTCGATGACTCTGTGATGAGGTGTATCAACCCTTCACTGCGTAAATGAGGGCGGCCCATGCTGGACATGCTGAGCCCCCGTGATATATACCTGGTAATATTTGTTCTTTAAAACGTCTATTTATCCTTTAATCCATTTTACAATTATAATACAAAAAATGACACAATACTTAACCAAAACTCACCCTGCGGATTTTACTCAAATCTCAACTCCTTTTGAATATAAACTCACTCAGATTCTCTTTTACACTGTACTGACCAGTCATCTCAACAAAACTTATAACTGGTGTTAAGGCTGGGAGAGAGCTATGAGATTTTAGTTAAAGTTCCATATTTGCTGGGGGCACTTTTTTACTTGGATAACCTATCTGCTGAGAGTATATTACAGCATATCAAAATCTTGGTCTTTTGACCAGAGAATGGTAGATATGCATTGCTCTGAAACAGCCAGAAGCGTGCACATTTTCTACGACACTCGCCCTTTAAATTTTGTGTTACATGAGCAGAGTCCTAGAATTTCTATGAAAACAGCAGTGTGGCGTGCAACATTGGCCCATTGAAATGACTTGTTAACAAGAAATAGTAAAGTTGTTAATCTAATTTTTCTCATTATCTTCATCACTGAAAAGATGCAGATTCAGTGAAAAAAATTCAGTGACCTTTTTTCCCCTGGTTCCGTGAACACTAATGCAAATTTTAAATGTGCATCCTAGAAAAAATAGATCCTTATACATTTTTTGGAACTGATGGCTCATGTACTTAGAATTTTAAACACTATTACATGATTGTATCGCAGCTTGCTACTTCTTCTGAAGCTGACAGGATGCCCCTGGAAACAAGATAATACATCTCAATGCAGTAGTCTGTCTAAACATATATATACATATACAAAATGAATGTTTCATTTCTTTGTTGAGATTCATGGAAGGTAATAATAAATTGGAGTATCTTAGATGTGTGAGTGATGGAATCAAAGACCAAACTGTATATTTTGAGGTGGTATGACAAAACATCTAGTACTGGGGGAAGCAACGAACTGTGAAATAAAAGACCAAGTTAAAAGCTGACTTGAACTGTTGAGAGGTTAATATACACACAAACCATTTCAGCTGTACTTACTAAAGAACATATTTTATTCCAGTATGGTGTATATTTATTAGATACAAACAAAACCCTTAAAACTTTCCCACTTGCTTTATTGATGTTTAATTTTATTTAAGATATGAAAATTGAACTTAGTCCACCAGTAATGCAGTGCTGTGATCTAACAACACTTTACTACAGATTTTGTGTCTGGTCAAGTTGCAATTCAAACACAGTACAATCAATTTTCAGAGTCTGAAGGGATAGTAGAGAGGAGTGCCTCAACACCGTCAGCTGACTGGCATTGCTGGGAGCTCAGCTTGTTCGGGAAAAACTCAGCTAAGTGAAATGCACTGCTGAAGTCCATATCCTTATTAATAGTAATTGTGGTAAGAGATTGTAGTGGAAATTAAAAAAAAAAGAAAGAGAGAGCAGATAAAAGAGAAAAATGTAACATGAAAATGAACCTGAATGGAAAAAATTAAAACAGGCAGTGGAGAAAAGATACCTCACCTCTCCTCACGGTTCTGTCCCACACACACACGGCCCCCGTGCCGAGGAGTTGGATTGCTGCACGAACGCTGGCGGACTTGAAAACCAATTCCACAGGTGGTACTGCAGGGTGACCAGGAAGTCCATGGAGTCCAGCCCCCATTTCTAGTAGAATAAGAAGCCTTGGCTCTGTCATCTGTTATAATATACAGTGAGCAGCTACATGGGTGTAACTGAGAACAGAATTTGGCCCATTAATATCTGCAGAGATAGTTAATTCTGCATCAAGTTAAACTTCCAGAAGAACACTTGGTGGAAAAAAGATACTTGTTTTTGCCATTGTTTCGACCTGGTCTATATGATATATTACTGTTAAAATGGGCCCAATGACCAAACAAATATAAAATCCATGCAAGGCCTTGTAATCTGACTATGTAAGAAAGTATAAAACATAGAATTTAAGGCCAGAAGGGACCACCAGATCATCTATTCTGATCTCCTGTATCTGACAAGTCTCCAACACCATTCAGCTCCTGACACAACTGAAAACAGACCAAAATATTATAGGCTACAAGAGACTAGACTATTATGTGCCACAGGCCGAAAATGGGAGGAACCAAGGTGCACCAGTGCCCGAGACTTCATTATAGCAGGGAAATGATTAAGTGAGATATACCCAGATAATCCTGGCAAGTGACCCACCCACTGCAGAGGAAGGCAAAAACCTCTCAAGGTTGCTGCCAATCTGACCTGGGGAAAAATTCCTTCCCACTGCACATATGGTGATCAGTTAGACCCTCAGCATATAAGCAAGAGCTAGACAGCCAAGCACCTGAGACAGAAAATGCTCAGTGCTACCTCAGAGCCTTTGCCCACGCCACTGAATCTCCAACTGAGGGCATCCCTGGTGGTTCAAAGTAAGGAGATTAAAAGAACAAAACAAAATACATGGGGGGAGGGACAAACCCTTCCTGATCCCTGCAGCTGACTGGCTGAAACCCTGAAGCGTGAGTTTTTAGGAACATAAGACATAAACCAGAAATGAGACCCTGGGCTTCCCCTGACCATCACAAGCAACCGCATCAACCCATCAGAAAACTATAAATGCTGTTATTATGCCTTGAACAATTCTGATAATTGACCACAGGATATTGGAATTTCAGTGCAAATACTTCTAGAGATGAATCTCCCCTAAACTGGGTCTATGTAATATTACTATTCCCATTGGGTTTAACATATATATTTTGTTTAACCTCTCCAAGTTGTATTATATATTTTAAATATAACAGTGATGCATCCTTTTTCTGCTAACATTCTTATTAATAGTCCACATCAGAGCAAATCCATGTATACACCGATAATTATTTAGGTTAATGACATGTATTACTCTGTTCAAAGCTCAATAAAGTATTTTATTTTAAAACCTCACACTTCTAACTTTTAACCAACTTCATTGCCACAATCACAAATGTTTACTTTAGTTTTTATAAAATTAAATTACATATGTTGTTTGATAATACACGTTATAGGGCAGGAAGACAATCTGACATTCTCCTGTATTATTTCAGAATCCAAAACACTAGTAACAGAAAATGGAATTTAATTTTCCTCAGTTAATTTATTCTGGATACATTTAATATTTAAATTCCCACATCAATCTTTTGGAGAGAATTTTGAATTACATATTGCTCAAGTAGGTTAAAGCAGCAGTTCTCAAGCTGTGGGTCGGGACCCCAAAGTGGGTCGCAACCCTATTTTAATGGGGTTGCCAGGGTTAACCTTAGAATTGCTGAGGCCTGGGGCCGAAGTCAAAGCTCGAGCCCCACCGCCCGGGGCCAACGCCCAAGCTCAAGCTCCACTGCCCAGGACCAAGGCTGAAGGGCTCCAGCCCTGGACAACAGGGCTCAGGTTACCGGCTTTCTGTCTGGGGCTGAAGCCCTTGAGCTTTGGCTTTGCCCTCCTCCCCACCGTGGGTGGTGGGGCTGGGGCAGGCTCAGGCTTCGGTCCCCTCTCCTGGGGTCATGTAGTAATTTTTGTTGTCAGAAGGGGGCTACAGTGCAATGAAGTTTAAGAGCTGCTGGGTTAGAGAGTCCATATTATTTATATCATGTCTTTTAAGGAAGATTAAAAACTTCAAGTTCATACCCTTCCTTTTCTGTAAAAAAAAAAGACAAACATTTAAAACAAGAAAAAGAAAAAAAAATCAAGTTCCAGGAGAAGTAAAATTTCAAGAGGAGACAATTACATGAACTCACAATTCCACAAAATCCTCAAATACAATAACAATGCCTTACAGTAAGAGTACCAAAAGGTGCTGATAGAGCTAACAGAATCAATACATATTTCTTATACTTGTAAATCCCTAGAAGGCACAGTCATGTTCCCATTAAAGTCAGTGGCTAACTCCTATTGACTTTAATATGAACAGAATCATGCCAAATGTCTGGAAAGAAATTTTAAACCCTAAAGAAATCAATGAATTATAGCAGTTTACATTGGGTTTTTTCACACCTGAAAATTGCTAGTAAAGATAAGAAATTCAACAAAAATCAACTCAACAATGTTATGCTCTTGAGATTTCATTATAAACATTTTAAACAAATACTAAGGTTAATATAATACAAATTGTCTTACTCTATTGGGAAATGATTCAAAAATTAAAAAGCTCAACTGGTTCAATAATACAAGAGGATAAAAATGTTTAACTTGTCAGATCATTTTAATAGTTGGCCAAAATGTGCAGTTTTAACTGTTTACTAATGATTTATTGCTATTTGAGCAGTGCATGAATCGTCCCTTGTTTTAATGGACCCAGAATTTGACACTACAGAAAATGGCTGCCTAAAAAATATCATAGTTCACAGCTACTGACTTTGGACAGAAAAACAGGGTTAATTACTGTAAGGATTAGTATCAATGGCATGATTTTCAGATGTATTAAAATCAATGGGAGCTTTGGGTGCCCAGTACAGTACCTCTGAAAATCAATTATTAGTATGAGTGGTTATGCAAATGAGATGATGTAATGTTAGCAGGGGAATGACTATGATAATAGCTGTGGTGAGACTCTGAGCATTTCTCTATTTCCATCTAAGCCTTCAGGCCCAGATTTTTAAAGGTGTTTATTCATTGCTGCACTCAGTGTTGCAAAGCCCATTTGATTTAGGAGCCTAAGTCTCATTTTAAAAGGCTATTTAGGCACTGAGAAGCCAAAATCCAATTGACTACCTAAGTGCCTAAATCTCTTTTAAAAATGAAATTTAGGCTCCTCAATCAGTGAGACATTGCAGAAGTGAGTGCAGCAATGCCTAAACACCTCTAAATACCTTTAAAAATGTGGGATCAAAGTCTATACTTCGGGAACAACAGATACCTAATAACTCTTGTTCAATTGTTTAGCTTCATATAGTATCCTTATCCTCTCTTCTGCTCACAATTCTCTACTCTACAGTCAACTGTAAGCACCATATTGATTTTTCTTATCTATTTACACCCATTCATTATTGCATCTTATATCAGCTGGAATTGGTCCTGCTAGTGAAGGCAGGGGGCTGTACTCGATGACCTTTCAAGGTCCCTTCCAGTTCTAGGAGATGGGAGATGGGATATCTCCATTAATTATTAATTATTATTATTATTATTTGTTTACCATTACATGCAGGATAATAACTGTTCTGATTCATGCAAAAATATCATGCGGTGATTTGGAAGTTAAAGTATTTGCTACTGGTGTAGCATAAGCAATGGACTAGAGAAAGTGATAAAAGAACAGACTACTGGAAATGAACAGAACAGACCATTTAACAAGTTTCAACTTGAGAGTTAGGTGCAAAAAACATGAGCTCCAGATCAAATTAGCCCCACTTCCTTCACTATCACCAGTTGTCAGGACAAGTCTGCTAATCCTACACCCTCTAACTTGGCCATGACTGTTCAGAACAAACACTTTGTTTCTAAGCTTAGACTGAAAAATGATCTGCTCTAGTATTCTGTCTATGGGGTCAGGTGAGTGGTCTGGGATGGAAAAGTGGCTGCAAGACCAGACTTAGTGGGCCACAGACCAGGATATTATGATATCAGCACAGGCTACAGTGGACCTGCCTCTGGAGACTCCAGTGCAGAGAGACAAGCATCCTCCTTTTGCTCCCCATCCCTAGTGCAAGCATTCACAAATCCTGAGAGCTGGTCCAACGGAGGTGGTGCTAAAGGATGGTGACTTCCAGGACTTGGCCCTCAAAATGTGTTCTTTTTGATAACTGGGCCAGAACTAATGTTTAAAAAAAGCTTACTGGTCCTGCAAAAGTCTCTCTGTGCCCCAATAAATTACTAAACTCCGGGGCTTTAAATTGGGGGTGTCACCGAATGCATTGATTTCCCCCCCCATATTTCTGTTGTTAATGTTAACTGTAGTCAACTTAAATAGTTTCACAAAACCTGAAGTTAATTTTTCCCACTTGGCCAGTTCTCTCTCCCAGCGAAGTCTGAGAGGCTTATGTCCCATGCTACTGTGACTATCATCATAAGCAGTTTCATATTCAAGAAGGAATAGGAAGGCTGTGAATAAGGTTTAAAAGAAATATTACTTAAAATGTGTTTTATTTTTAATACTTTAAAACAAGATATCCTATAGGATCTGTTTGGGTCTTGTGATTGTCTGACGTACCTGGAGCAGTTGGCAATCTCCATACTTGGTCCTTCGCACTGCCAGCCTCCACACTGAGGCGCTGGACTGTCACACAAGCGAGTTCTGCAGAGGCAGGAGCCAACACTGGTACCATCAGTGTGGGTGCAGGGTTTCCATTGAGACCACATTCCAAAATTCCCATCCACAGTCAAATTCCTGGTCTAGAAGATAAAAAAACAGAAAGTCTAGATAAGACAGCAGAAAACTGATCAGAGGTCCCTTTTGATGTAACTTTTTAATTGCACAACATAGTGAAGTCTGAACTTCAACTATTCAAAATTTAGAGCCACCACTGGAGTCATTCTCAAAAGGATCACACCCTTTTAGACTGTAAATCCTTTAGAGCAGGAATTCTCTTTTTTGTGTTTGTACAGTTCCTGGGGAATGGAACCTCAATCTGACTGGAGCCTTTGGACACTATACATAATAAATAATAAAACTCAATCTATCATCATCACCCCTAACTACAACCAATATCACTGGCTCCGTTGGAAAGAATTCCTACAGAAATTCAACAGGAATTAGAGCCCCGTTCTCTCAATCATCTTCTGACTGAAATTATTTCCCATTTCTCCCAAACTCTGCTGTCATCTGATCTAAGACACTGATTGCAAAACAGAATATGCAAGAATGTTTGCAGAAACATGACTAGATTGAAAGGAGGAAGTAGTAGAGGATAATGGTCAAGGTATAGATTCTAGTTAAGCCTATGCTAAATCTTAATGATTAGTAGTTTTCTTTGATATTTATAAAAAACACATTTTAATAAAAGAGCCATCACTAAAATTCCACTCCCTGGGGAAGCAGAATGTGAATTTAAATATATACATTATATATGGGAAAAAACACAGCTGTAAAAAACAATACAAATGAAAAAGCATAAAACATTACTTTTAGAACCCTCGCCTTTTCCCTTAAGGTCTATTCCCACTGTCTTCACCTGGAGGAGGATCAGGCTCTTTTACAATGTTGAATAATTCTTCCAAAATGCAGTTTAAAAGCTATGTGAATAAGATCTCTATAATTATATATTTAACCAGGAATTGTCTAATTAAAAGAAACAGTGTTAACTCTGGATTTCATCAGACTTCATTGCTCCTGGAACCTTTCATGAAATTGGTGATGGATATCAGGAATTTAGCTCTCTAGATGAAGGCACTCTTTAGTAGAGAATGATTAAAACATTAGAAAACTTGCATTATAGACTCAAGAAACCAACTTTTTGTTCTGTGTTTGTACAACACCTAGCATACTGGGATTCTGGTCTATGAGTAGGGCCCCATAGTGCTACAGTAATACAAATAAATAATAATGATATAGCTAAATAGTACATAGGTCCTCCCTGTAGCTGGGTAATTACCCCACTCCTGGGGAAAAGGCTGAATGTGGAGGCAGCCACAGCTGTGGACACACCCAATCAGGCCATAGCTAGCCCTGATATAAGGGCTAAGGGAGACACTCACTCAGCCTTGGAGTAGGAAGGACTGGGCTGCCTGGGAGCACAGGGTACCCGAAGCAGAGCAGTGCTGAGAAAGGGCAAGAGGAGCTGGGGTGTTCCAGCCTGGCAACTCTCTTCTCTCCCCCCCCCCCCCCCGCTGAGACCTGATTAAGGTTTAAGGAGGTACTGGGGCTGCAGAGGCAGCTGGTCCAACCCCCTTGCCAGTGATGAATGGCTATTACAGACTGAAGTCTGCCCCAGGAAGGGGCTAGATGATGAGTGGCAGTAGCCACTGGGGCAAGGTGGGCATAGGGGGAGGGGAGTTCCTCTGGGAAGGGAGACCCAGATTGTGGGGGTACTGCTATGGGCAGAACCCCAATGTAAAGGGCACTGGGTCAGGGGGAGGATCATGGGGGGGGGGGGTGAGGAAGGAGAGACACTGGCCACCAGGAGGTGCTCTGAATGCTGAAATTGAGCTAATTCCTGGATGACCAGCAGGAGGTGCCACAGCTGTGAGTCAGCAATCTGCTACACTCCCCCCACCCAAGAAATAGGGGGGAGGAGGAGCCTGAAGCAGTTTAGCATGTTTTAAGTGGGGAAGCAGGGAGGAAAAGTACCAGTACTTAATGCCCTAACATCTGTTTCTACACTGAACTATAAACAAAACTGGCAGAACTGCTATGAAAGATGTGGAAAGGTGACTCACTTGGCTACCTGGCATGAACAATAGATATCACTTAATTCTAAACAGAGTAGGGAAGGGAGATAAAGGATGTATAAATTCCACAGCTAATTAGAAGATACAAGAGACTTAATTACAGCTGGCAGCATGTTTTCACTGCATCTCCGGCTGATCTCCAGCCACTCTGCTAAAAGGTTCCATAATTTAACTATTAATAACACTTTTCAAGATCAATCATTCACATACAGTACTACCCCATAGAACAGACAAGTTTATTTTCTGGGAGCTGAGACTGATAGAGCTACAATCTATCAACTCAGCATACTGCTGACACATGTTTATTGAAAATAACACACTATAACACAGTGTGTATGCTGTTATTTTTCACAAACAGCAAATAATTATTTCTTGTTAAATGTCAGTTGAGCTCATTCTCAACACTGAGAGTTGGAAGAGTCTGTATTCTATAAACACAGATAACATGTCCCCAGTCCAATTAGTGTCAGAGCTGTGAAACCATCTCTACTGCTTACTTTTCCACAATGTATCAGAGCACCTTCACTGCTGTCTCACCTACACTTTTCCCAAGACAACACTCATATGATCAGCTAGATCCCCAGTTGTCTAGAGAGAAATAAAGTCAAATGTGGAACTATGAGTAGCTTAAATGAAAGTTTACTAACCTGAGTGCCAAATTCAGCTCTCACCAGCACCGCTGCAATGCCCTTTACCCATAAAGTTGTGTTGCACTCAACCTTCTCACCTACCTCAGAGTGCAGGCCAGCACAAAACAAGGAGATATTTACTTTTTCTCTGATTTGGTTACATTTTCTCTTCCATCCTTCTTTCCTCCAGTGCCTTACTTTCCTTATCTCTCATTCCTACCCAAAGTTTCTTCTTATCCCTGTCTTCCCTCTACTTGTTTCTCTCTGTCCCTGCCCATTCAAAAGGCTCTTCTTTTCTCTATCTACATGTCTCTTGATGTTCTCTGCAACCCTCCAAATGGCTCTTTTGTGCTAGCTTGCACGCTGAGGAGAGGAACTTCAGTCAGCCAGCAACTTCTTGTGTTGCCTATTCTCTGGGGTGGAATCACCGAGTTTCAGTTTGGATGCTACACCTATGCCAACATCTCCTCAAGCTGAAAATGCTTCTGGTGGGTTTCCACTGGTTTATACAAAAATTCAGAGACTACACTCTTAGTGGATTGCCCATATAAAGAGCAATAAACCCACCCTTCCCACTAATAATAAATAACGCACCAACAATCCCCTCAGTACAATCTGCATATTCACTATTTATTCGGAGGGACTGTTGTAAAATATGATGCACTTCATACTCCAGGAATTGAATACACTATACTGTACTCCTAGTTCCGGCTGACCAAGCAGCAAGGAGCTGGGTTTAGGAACTGAAAACAGCTTTCCTGTGTGACAGCAATGGACTCTTCCTCTAGGGCAGTGGTTTTCAAACATTTTTTTCTGGAAACCCAGTTGAAGAAAATGTTGATGCCTGTGACCCAATGGAGCTGGGGATGAGGGGTTTGGGGTGTGGGAGGGGACTCAGAGCTGGGGCAGAGGGTTGGGAATGAGGGCTGCGGGGTGGGGCTGGGAATGAGGAGCTTGGGATGTTGAAAGGGGCTCTGGGTTTTGGGGGCTCAGGGCAGGGGTACAGGAGGGGGGCACGGCTCTGGGCTGGGGGTGCGGGCCCTGGAATGATGGGGTTGGGGTGCAGGAAGGGGCTCTGGGTTTGGGGGGGCTCAGGGCAGGGGTTGGGGCATGGGTTTACCTTTGGTGGCTCCCAGTCAGCAGCGCAGCCAGGGTGCAGAGGCAGGCTTCCCGCCTGCCTGGCACCGCGGACCGCACTGCTCCATGGAAGTGGCCAGCAGGTCCAGCTCCTAGGCAAAGGTGCGCAAGCGGCTCCATGTGGCTTTTGCCCGCAGGCGCGCGCGCACACACTCCCAGCTCCCATTGGATGGGAACCCCAGTGCTCGGGGTGGAGGCAGCGTGTGGAGCCCTGTGGGGGCCCCCCCTCGCCTACGAGCCAGCCCTGCTGCTGGCTGCTTCTGGGTAGGGACTACTAGTTTTACTACTAGTTTTTTCTTGCCAGCCGCCAGGGTCCCTGGGTGCTGAGCAAGGCGAACCAGTGCCTTGCATTCTGTGACCCAGTACTGGGTCACACCCTAGTGCAGTGCTTTTCAAAGGTAGGGTCATCAGGTCAGACTGTGGTTGTAAAGCTTCATGCAAAATGGGTTTTTTTTAGAAATTATTATTTAATAATGCAGAAAAAGTCAGAACACAAAAGGGTTTATTCTCCAATGCGTTGCATTTTGTATAGTGATTTATTCTGGTACTAAGTTCAAAAAGGTGTAAATGACTACCAATGTGAACTGGCCATTTTGCACAGGTGTAAATCTTGACACAAAGTGCAGGGCAGTGGAGAATAAAGCTAGGACTCTGACCAAATGCACCCTGTATTCACACCCTACACACTGTTGTGATAATCTTTGTACGAAGTATGCCTTGTGAGGTATCATTTGAAAACTAATAACGCACTGGTCAATAATATCACAGTGACATGTATATGGCAACATTATAGGTAAGTTATGAATTCTCCCTGTACAGTGTTTATAGAACATGTTCAAACCCACACAGACCCATTTAACCACTCCTGCCCTAATCAGGACGATCTTAAACAAAGGATTATGTGTGTGCTGCAATTTATATATAGCAGTAAACCAGGTCTTTGATACAGCAAGAGCGAGACAAGGCAAATCTGTATTTCAGCATACACCGGAGAGAAGAAAGGGCACGGGGCACCTTCACCCCCCGACTACACTTTGCCTTCTTCACTGCTGGAATAAACTTTGCTTTGAGGAGTAATTCTCTGAAGACTCAATTTCAAAGGGTGACTAGACTATAAAAGTGAGGGGCAAGAACACCCCAAGGTATTAATTGAGAGAGACATCTCTTTTTCACCTAAGACGACAAAGGAAACCGCTTGACTTTGGGAGGGATCCTGACCTGAAGTTTGGTCAGCCCTGT